CAAACCAAGGAGGACACTCAAGTTACAAATTGACACGTGAATGTTTAATAGACTGTATTTCCGTGTGGCTTATCCTGTAGTAATACTTCTGAGTTGAGAAAGAAGATGGAATGAATAAAATCCGGCCTGTCTAAACTCATTCTGGGCAAACATTATCCTTTGCCATTTTCCCAGTGACACAAACAGACAGAGCGGGAGGTGGCTGGACTGCCTTCCGCTTCCTACTGAACCCTTCTTGAGGAGTATGAACTTTGAATCAGAGTGCTATGTCTGTGATCTAATGTCACAGACGGGAGGTGCACAGGCTTGCGCTCTCTTCCTCCCCATCTGCAACACAACAACACAAACAGCGACATTCAGACGGGCCAGCTACTGCTTCGAGGAAGAAGCTACCCTTTCCAGAACTGTCCTAACAAAATCAGCATTAGGACATCTGCCCAGCCATTCAGTAGGCAACAGAGACTACAATCACAAAAGAACGAGTGTAAAATTAGAATTTGGGTCACAAATAGCTTTGTCTGTGTCTCATAAAATATTGCAAGTCAATTTTAAGCAACACGCCTGCATTTTGCAACATTTTTTTTTACCATATATTGAAGTCATAAACCCTGTTTTATATTGTGTTAGGAGACACACTGATGTGCCCTATGGTAGTGGAGGAATGAATGTGAGCAAGGTTTCATGAGCGTGGAAACTAGGTTTTCATATATCCATTGTTGGAGAAATCAGATCACAAAGTAGTATGCATAATGTTAGTATCTTTTCAACAAAAACTTATATATATAACATATCAAATTATATGTATATACATGTGTATATATATATATATATATATATATGATTTTAAGAGAAAATTAGTTGTAAGAATATAGGGCAAGGCATGAGCAATAGTTATCTCTAGATGTCAAGATGGGAGATAATTTTCTTAACTTTATCATTTCAATCTTCAAGCAGAAAGAGGTATCATCTGATGTGTTATTTTATTTGTGTTGGTTGGATAGTTTGTAAGAGGACAATGTGCTTATAATGCTAATAAATTGGCATAAATAATATACTGCCTGGTACTTTAGTATGGTCTTGTTTGTGATCATTTGAGTAAATGCCCCAAAGTGGGATTGCTGGGTCATAGGGGAGCTCTATGTAGAGTCTTTTGAGGAACCTTCATACTACTTTCCAAAGTGGCTGAACAAGTTTACACTCCCACCCACAATGCAGTAGGGTTCCCTTCTGTCCACATCCCTTCCAGCACCAGTTGTTATTAGAGTTCTTGATTATAGCCATTCTAACTGGGGTGAGGTGGAATCTCAATGTTGTTTTGATTTGCATTCCTTTTATGGCTAGGGAGGTTGAGCATTTCTTCATGTGTCTATTGGCCATCCTTCTTTCCTCTTCAGAGAAGTTTCTCTTTAAGTCTTTAGCCCACTTATTTATTGGGCAGTTGTTTCTTTGAGGATTAGTTATTGCAGCATTATTTACCATAGGTAAGATATGGAACCAACCCAGATGCTCCACAGTAGATGAATGGATCAAGGAAAGGTGGTATATATACACAATGGAATTCTATGCCTCCATCAGAAAGAATGACTTTGCCCCATTTGTTGGGAAATGGAAAGACTTGGAAAAAATTATATTAAGTGAAGTAAGCCAGGCCCAAAGAAATATAGGTCCCATGGTTTCCCTTATTTGCAATAACTAGTATATGTCTGAGACAAACAGAAACTGTTAGACAAGTTGATGTTAAGTGAAATGAACCCCAAGATAAGGATTCAAATGTTTTTCTTTCTTGCGATTGTTTCCAACATATTTATAAGATGATTTCTTTGTTGCTTTGTATGTCCCTCCCCCACGGTACAAACCCTGTTTTCACTGTATTTGATGTTGATATAATTTGTGGAGGGGAAGGGAAAAAACAAATCGTTTAAATAGGGTTACAGGTGCACCCACTGCAACAATGAGATGTATAAGACGTTATGTCGAAAAACGAACTTTACAACTTTGGCGGAGTGGGGGGCGTGGGGGTGGGGGGAGGTGGTGGTAGGGGGGTGGAGAAGGGAAGAGGTAGTATGTAATTGTAACCCCTCTATATGGTATTTTCACACACACACACAAAACCACTGAAAACTAGAGATAAATATTATCACAAAGAATAATAGACATATCCATTAAAAATGTTCGAGTCAATAATAATAATAATATACTGCCTGATTTACATTTAGATCCTAATTCTAATAAAACATGTATTGTTGCATTCACAAAAATGATTATCATCAATAATTCAGGTTGACTGGTCTTTTTTGTTTTTTTCTGGTCCTGGGCCTTGAACTCTGGCTGGGCTCTGTCCCTCAGCCTCTTTATGTTCAAGGCTAGTGCTCTGACAGCTTTTTCTGAGTAGTTTATTAGAGATAAGAGTTTCATGGACTTTTCTGCCTGGGCTGGCTTTGAACCACGATCCTCAGATCTCAGCCTCCTGAGTAGCTAGGATTACAGGCGTGAGCCACTAGCACTCAACCTGACTGCTCTTTTGTATAGCTCTGTAAGTATCATTCCTGCTTTCTTGAATCAGAAGATTTTTTTTCAAAGAAATCAGTTTAATTGTCCAAACATTAAATCTGTTAAATATTGACACCACACATTACCAAAACCACCCACTTAAAGGTGGAGTTGGAATAATCACTGAGAAAGATTTACGTGAGTAATTCGATGAACCACTAGTTTTTCAGACTGGATGCCAGTCTCCTCTTTCTCTGTCTAGAATCTAATAAATGGGACATGGGAAGGAAATAATAACTGGAATTACACCTATGTAAGGCTCTCTACGTGGCCATTTCAACACAAGTTCAACTTGTTTTTGCTGCACTTGTAGATTCAGAGTTCTGTATTTCCATGTCATTTTTCCTTGAAGTCTTCCTGCTTGGGTCCATGTTATTTGAGAATATGATCTAATTTATCTGTATGAAATATCTGCTTCATAAAATGCTGGGAGTTCTTCTGCCTTGCCAACTGAAAATCTTTTCCTGCCACTTCTGTGGCTGGGTTATGAAAGCATTCATGCCCAAGTTTAGACAAAGCTCCTGATGGAAATCTCTTAGCGAGTAAAGTACCAGAGATGGGTGAACTTATTATGAAAATAGGATGAGTGAGCTATCTGCTACGGCCAAGGGTGCCGGTGAACGTTAAGGTTTCAGTTTGTTTCCTTCTCGTTCATGACTGGACACATCACAGGTGGGATAATGGTAGGGATGGGGCATTTCAGGTGGTGATTGGATTGTCAGGTGGAGCCCTCAGGAACAGGATTAGGATTAACAGGATTCTGTTTTTCTACGTGAGGACCAAGGGGGCTCTTCCCTGAATAAGCCACAGCTCCTCTTTGCCCAGGATTCCCTAGCCTTCAAAACTATGACAAGGGGCTGGGAAGGTGGCTCAGTGGTAGAGCGCTTGCCTTGCATGTATGAGGCCCTGGGTTCGATTCCTCAGTACTACATAAGCAAAAAGAAAAAAAGCTGAAGTGGCGCTGTGGCTCAAGTGGTAGAGCGCTAGCCTTGAGCTGAAGAGCTGAGGGACAGCGCCCAGGCCCAGAGTTCAGGCCCCATGACCAACAAAAAAAAAAAAAACCATGACAAATGTTGTTCTTTAGAAGCAATGCACTTTGTGGATAGTATTTCTGCTAGAGAAGCTAGGATGGAATAAAACAATTGAGCCCTATGTTGAGAATATCAATATGGGGCTGGGAAGGTAGCCCAGTGGTAGAGTGCTTGCTTTGCATGCCTTGCATGCCTGAGGCCCTGGGTTCGATTCCTCAGCACCACATAAACAAAAAAAGAAAAAAAGCCAGAAGTGGCGCTGTGGCTCAAGTGGTAGAGCGCTAGCCTTGAGCTGAGGGACAGCACCCAGGCCCAGAGTTCAGGCCCCACGACCAGAACCCCCCCCCCCAAAAAAAAGAGAATATCGATATGGTTCAAGTCTAAAACAAAACCTTATTCAAACCTGCTCCTGAATCTGCGGTAGGCAGCTCTGTGCGCTGCTCAGAATGGCGCACATTTGAAAACTTATAGTTGGTTCCCAGTCTACTTGATGTTTTTCAGACCACAGCTGACCTGGCCTAGGGCAACTAAAACCAAAGAAAGTGAAATTGCCGACAGTGGGGCTGACCCTGAAGTGAATGAATACCAAGTTCAAATGTTCCCTCAACAAATAATGATATTCACATGAGCACATCGCCACTATCGCCGTCACGGTATTCATGTAACGCAGACTGGATCAGAAGCAAACTAAAACGCTGAAGTTGAGAAGTTGTAACGTAGAACAAGTCCTTGACACTGGGAGATTACCAGGATAAGATACAGAACCATTTTCCTCATCCATGTCCGGGAAGCCATTCAGTGTTTTTAGTTTAAAATACAATTTTTAAAAAGACGCTGCCTTATTAAAAAAAAAAATGTATCCCCACCCAGCGAGCATCACATCATGATCTCTGCACAGGGAGGCATGCTGGGAGGGTACAGACTCACCATTAATACATGAGGCGGCCCCTGGGTTTATTTGCCAGGCAGACTGCTCCTGAGAGGGAGCTCCCTGGCGCCGGAGGACAGTGACCCAGTTGGGCTGCTCAGGAGCAACTTGTAAAGGGGGGCATCCGCCACACTCCCACAGTCATGTGAGATCCCTATGTTCTTTCCAAAATCCCGTGTCTGGGTTCTTTCTATTTCAGAAAGCAGCGACAGGATCAGCCGCTGGACGATAAGTCAGGAGAGACTTCGCCTAGGCCCTGGCTGAGGCTCTGGGAACCTGGAGCTCTCTACCCCGGCTGGCCGGGAGCCCGTGCCCGTGTCCAGCCTGTGTGTGTATGCGTGTGTGTGTGTGTGTGTGTGTGCGTGCGCGCGCGCGCCCGTGTCCAGCATGTGTGGGTGTGTGTGCATGCGTGTGTGTGTGCATGCGCACTGTCAGCCCCCCTCCCATCCAGGGCCATCCCCTCCTGGGGCGGGTGAGTTACAGCTACAGACCTGAGGCCGTACAGGACCGTGCCGTCCGGGTGCAGGCGGATCATGCGGTTCTTTACCGTCACGCCGTGGACGAACGACTTCTTGTCGTTCAGGAAGTAAGTGTCGGGCACCCACAGCTGGTCTGCCACTCTGTTGTCCAAGGTCAAGTTCAAGGGTATCACGTTGTAGGACAGCCGCTTGTCCCTCCAGGCTTGCTGGAAGTACATGGTCAAGGTGTAATCCTGTGGACGAGAGGAGAGGGACCGTTATTCACACCGCAGGAGACTCGGGACACAGAATCACTCCAATAGTAGAGTGCGTGCGTGCGTGTGTGTGTGTGTGTGTGTGTGTGTGTGTGTGTGTGTGTGTGGTGTCCACATGCTAAGAACATACATGATCTGCATATCTATTTATCACACATGCGTGCTTCCTAAGTACTAACTTACCATGATTCTAGACATAAATAGTTTGTCCATATTACAGATGTATTTCCCAAGTAGAAAAAAGTCAAGGAATAAATGCTTAATAATTAACTGTATCTCCTAGAGCACATGCGCGCAAGCACACCACATTATTTCACATGAAACTTGAAGTTCAATCGTTTTGTGCGGGTTCTTCTGTCTACTGAAAGGAGGAGCTAGCCAGTGAATCTAAGATTGTAGGCATTCATTCATTCCACAAGTGTTCAATTTGTGCCTAGTGTGTGACAGGCACTGAGGAGGGTCTGAGATCCAGTGGGGAAGCAGACAGATCATTGCCTGCCCTCAGTGAATTTATACTCCAGGCACCCATAAATGAACAGAATAATATCGAACAACACTGCATTCCATGAAGCAAGGAGAGGTGAGAAATGTAATGGTGGAGATAAGGCTCTCTAAGGAGGTTAAAGTGTGCGGAAACCAGATCAGTGTCTCTTAGGAGCACATCCCCCGCTCCAGGAGGGTATACAAAGGCCCAGGGGTCAGTGGGGTCTTGGCATGTTTGAGGATGTGTTCCTTAGAAGGTAGTGATTCCAGAAGGAGGTAATGGGGCAGTGAGAATATGGAGAGAATTAGCCTCCTGAACCTCACACTTCATAGGAGAATGGAAACCTAAAATAATTGCTTGGAAAGTAGTTAGTTTATTTGTTGCAATTGCCAGAGTCTGCAAACTGGAGCGTGTCCATCAGCGTAACCACGGTGGGCTTTCCAGCAGAGGTGGCATCTCTTCGAGCTCAGACAGCTTCCCAGCGATCTGAATTGCGTGGACTTGGTCAACGCCTCCTGAGGCTGCAGACCGGGAGGCCCGAGGCAGTGCGTTTCTGTGACATGAGTACCGGCCTCCATCCCTCACCTCTGCCATCTCTCAGCTCTGCTTCCAGGCTGTGCTTCGCTTTGGTTAATTACACAGAGATTCCCATACACACCTGACCTCCTGAGAAAACGATGATGAAATCTGAGTGTGTAACTCAAACGCAACTTACAAACTACAAAAGCTGCGGGAGTTACGCATCAATTATGATCTATTTTATCCATGAGAGGCCTGTAGGTATAATGTCATTGTGTCTCACCTTTATTGAAGGGACTAAGTGAAGAGCCAAATCTTCATTTGCAAAAAGTTAATTCTATTTCTAATTTAAAATCCATCCACAATGGCCTAATCGATGGATCAGAGAAAACAGAAGAAATGAGCACCACAAGTTAACCATTTCCCTGACACGGAATTCTGAGATTTCTCCAATTTGAGATGTCTCTACCGTCATTTAGCTAGGTTGTTTCAAAACATGACTGGAAGGTATTTCCTGCTTCACTGAACAGTTTTCACAAGAAATCCATAATCACTCACAAAAGATACTGAAAGATTTCCCAATCTATACATTTTGATTTCATTCCAAAGTCAATGTGGGACCTTTTCAATTTACAATCAAACTTAAGAGTCTCATAATGTCTTTACAAATTAATATGCGGTAAGTGTGAGTGGAATCCCCCCCTGGGTAACTTTGGACAGAGTTCTGGACTGCTTTTCCACATTTTGCTCTAGTAAAGAATCTATAGGAAGGTCTCTAAGACAGTATTTTGATTTGGAAAATAAAAAAAAACCACCTAGAAGAGTCAGGATTTTTCTAATCAGAGAAAGGATCCTATTTTTTGGTTATGTCTCTGTTACAAATAACCTAAGAACAGGGTTTAAGAAATCAGGCAGTTGGGCTGGGAAGGTGGCTCAGTGGTAGAGAGCTGGCCTTGCATGCCTGAGGCCCTGGGTTCGATTCCTCAGTACCACATAAGCAAAAAGAAAAAAGCCAGAAGTGGCGCTGTGGCTCAAGTGGTAGAATGCTAGCCTTGAGCTGAAGAGCTGAGGGACAGTACCCAGGCCCAGAGTTCAGACCCCACAACTGGACCCCCCCCAAAAAAAATGAAATCAGGCAGTTCATATTGTAAGAAAATGAAGTTATTGATTTTTTTTAATTCATGGGGATCAAAAGGATAATTTGATCATTATTCCTATTAAAGGTTGTGGATTCACTCCCTTAGGATTTAGGACAGACGACACTGGAAAGAGCTGGAGTTTATCCATCAGTCGAGATGAGTTTGGGCACTCGAAATTACATTCTCTTCCGGGCTAACACGTGGTGATGTTGCGAGACCCTGTGTTACAGGCGACTCCTGGTAGCTGTCACCATGGGGCCGCTGTGAAATGCTCCTGGACAGACTCCGCTGGCTCTACAAACTGTCCCATCAATGTTCATTACGTCTATTTTTGAATCTCCCGTCACCACACTGCAGAGGAACGAAGAGGCTCCTGAATCCGAGTGTTACATGACAAGAAAAGGTGGCCCATGTCCCACTATGTGCCTCAGAGGGAGCCTTGGGACGTTCACCTTGACAGTGAACCCTTCCCCCCAAGCGTCTCACATGGGTGAATTCACACCAGAAAATCCCACATAAATCACGCTGAGTGTCCCACAATGCATGTCGCACCAGGCCAGAAGGATTAATCGCAATTAAAGCCAATTGATTCTTAATACTGAGCAAGTCAATCCCCTATAGATTATGTCTCCTACTAATTGCAGCTGAAAAATCCTAGAAGGTATATGTACAATCTCCTACTTGAAGACTAGCAGAGTAAACACTAGCATATAGATCAGGGGAGAGGCAAAAGACCACCATTTGTTTTATTTTTGTTTATCCTCTTAAAGGAATTCTAGTATACACACACACACACACATACATACACACAGAAGATTATATAACTAGTGGAAGATATACATCATGTTTTTTGTTTTTTCTGGTCCTGGGGCCTGAACTCTGGACCTGGGCACTGTCCCTCAGCTCTTCAGCTCAAGGCTAGTGCTCTACCACTTGAGCCACAGCGCCACTTCTGGCTTTTTCTGCTTCTGTGGTGCTGAGGGATCAAACCTAGGGCCTCATGCATGTGAGGTAAACACTCTACCACTGAGCCACCTTCCCAGCCCCTACCCCATGTCTTTGATTCAAAAGATGACTATAAAGATGGCTGACTGCAATGCACACTTACTCTTTGTGCTTGTTTGGCAGATAAGAGTCTTTCCTGTTCTACTTTTCACTATTTTTAATTTTAATTTTCACTAGTATAAATTAATTATGCGAAGGGATATCACTGTGATATTTATACCATGCATGTTGTAAATCTGGTCCCTCGCTATACTCTATAATCCTTCTTGCTTTTACTTATTTCTTTGAATTTATTTATTTATATTATTGCTCAGATAAACTGTGAACTTAGCCAAGGTGCCCAACAACTACCAAATAAAACAGCTATTACAAATATGTCTATCTCCTGTATAATTTTATATAATATATGTGCGTGGCTTAATGTAACACGCATCCTATGTAATATAGAGAGGGTCACAGAACAGATAGGTCTGACTTTGCATAACATAAATATGTATATGCCGTGGACTATTATTTGGCCATCAAGCAAAATGAAATTATGGTACGCTCGCTTGTGATGTGAGGAACTTACCCAGTCTTAAGTGGCTACTTCATTTTTTTCCCTTCCACCCTGAGCAGTGATTTTGTAAGGAGAGTGGGAGAGTCTGGGCAGCCTGGCAGAGACACGAGGGGACGACACGGGGCCGCGCTGCAGGGAGCACGGGGCCGCGCTGCAGGGGGCACGGGGCCGCGCTGCAGGGGGCACGGGGCCGCGCTGCAGGGGGCACGGGGCCGCGCTGCAGGGAGCACGGGGCCGCGCGGGGCACGGGGCCGCGCTGCAGGGAGCACGGGGCCGCGCGGGGCATGGGGCCGCGCTGCAGGGGGCACGGGGCCGCGCTGCAGGGAGCACGGGGCCGCGCTGCAGGGGGCACGGGGCCGCGCTGCAGGGAGCACGGGGCCGCGCGGGGCACGGGGCCGCGCTGCAGGGGGCACGGGGCCGCGCTGCAGGGGGCACGGGGCCGCGCGGGGCACGGGGCCGCGCGGGGCACGGGGCCGCGCTGCAGGGAGCACGGGGCCGCGCTGCAGGGAGCACGGGGCCGCGCTGCAGGGAGCACGGGGCCGCGCGGGGCATGGGGCCGCGCTGCAGGGGGCACGGGGCCGCGCTGCAGGGAGCACGGGGCCGCGCTGCAGGGAGCACGGGGCCGCGCGGGGCACGGGGCCGCGCTGTAGGGAGCACGGGGCCGCGCGGGGCACGGGGCCGCGCTGCAGGGAGCACGGGGCCGCGCGGGGCACGGGGCCGCGCGGGGCATGAGGCCGCGCTGCAGGGAGCACGGGGCCGCGCGGGGCACGGGGCCGCGCGGGGCACGGGGCCGCGCTGCAGGGAGCACGGGGCCGCGCGGGGCACGGGGCCGCGCTGCAGGGAGCACGGGGCCGCGCGGGGCACGGGGCCGCGCTGCAGGGAGCACGGGGCCGCGCGGGGCACGGGGCCGCGCTGCAGGGAGCACGGGGCCGCGCGGGGCACGGGGCCTTAGCGTTCCTGAGCCCCCGGGCCGCGGCGTGGCCCGCTCCTCCCTCCGAGTGTGTCGTCACCACACCTCGCCTCCCGCAAGCTCTGGGTCAGCACCCCGGACCCTCGCTGCCGGACAGCACGGCTCCTACGCATCTCACAAGATTGCCGGCAGCCATCCCCAGCCACGATCAAAAATCTGAGCAGTATGGGGGGAAATGTGAGGAAAGGAGCAACGTGTCCCGCAGGGACGGGAGGGAGGGCCTTGCACAGCACAGGGCCGGGCCGCGCCTCTTTGGTTTTGAGAAGGGGTCTCGTTGCTACCTTTGCCCCGCTGTCTCAGACT